TTTTTCCTTTATGTTCCTATGTCCCGAGATCCCGATCAGTAAAACATTGTGCAGGTTAATTGGAGTAGTTAAAATTTCTGCATTGTGGCTTTGATATCCAATAATATGGCGACACTATATTTAAATGTGTTATACCGTCGTACATTTCTTCCCAATAGCAAACACTTTCGCTTGAAAAAGTCTAGATACCATAAGTTGTTCATTTTTAATAATAAATCTTTCCGATTATACACCTGCATTATAGTGCCGTGAAGAATACTGTGTCGAAATCTTTCAAAACAGATACCATTGTCCATTATTTTCTTATGGGTTTGCTTGGAGTACCGGTCTTGTGTTACAAAATTTTTTGCGCTCAAATAAAACTCCGTTATGACATTTTTGAAGGGTTGAACTTAGTAAAATTCTTCTTAAAGAACTATCGTAAAAATAAAAATTTATTATAAAAATATGGCAAAAGATTTTGCCCTAAATTTATCAGCTGCTTATCAGGTATTGGAGAAGTTAATAAGATGTTTGAAAATCCACCAGATAGCACTCGCAGATATAGTTATATTTTTATTTACTGTTAGATTTTCAACGGAATTCATACAAAAATTGTTAGTTTTTTTTTGCAAAATTGTAAAAAATATGATTGGGGGAGTCAACGAATATCTAAATAATGTGCACGAGCGTACAAAAAGTATTAAAAAATTTTTTGATTGCATTTTGCATAGAACTACTGCAAATTTATTCATTCATGGTCACAATGATTTTTACAAAACTTTCATAGCTGTCAGGTAAATATCTGTATTTATCAATCCATATTTACAGCACGTTTGAGTTTTATTTTGCGCTTTGAAGTCATAGCCGATTTAGTAGGATCCATGGTGACTGTGACACATCAAAATGAAACTTGTTATGGAAATTTGTTTGTTTGGCTACCTAATGGCATATGTAATATATACCTTTTTACGAGTTTTGATGCACCTTCTTATATAAATGCAAATACCATTATTCCCAGAAGTCTTAAAAATTCATAACGTTCCCTTTACGGGTCAGTGGACTTTTATAGTAAATATTTGTGAAATGAATTTGTCAATCGCACACTCTCTAAAAATTTAATCACAGCAGAATCTTTGATTATCAGCACTGATTGAAATAATAACGCTTTAGTCTAGTACTCCTAGGTTCGTTCTAAGCAACATTAAAAAGATTTTTGTTTAAACATTGAAAGTAAATTAGTGCATTCGAAATGCCAGCAGATAAGTTCGATCCACACAACATTTACACAGCTACACACCAGCGCTTCTCTAAATTTGCTTACCTGCACTTCCACAATCTGAGCCAATTACACATTTCTGCATTCGTAGACTTGCCTATAAATCTGCAAGCATAATCACAATTTCTCAAAGCATCTATAAATGCCTGCATGCAGCACTTTAAACAGCAATTCCTATGCAATTATGCATTCGCCTAGCCCAGCTGCATAACAATCTTGCACTCATTGCCATACACAGCATCCTGTATACCTCGTTTGCCCCTTTGCGTACATGCATGCAAGCACACACACATCAATGGTGCGCGTCCACATGCAACAAGCGCTTCAAGGCAGTTAATATGACTTACACCTGTTACCTCTTCATTTTGGTCAATTGGTATGTTAGGGCACTGTTAGGGACACGTCTACAGCAAAAGTTACGGATGGAGATGTAGATGTAGATAGAAATGCAGATGCAGATTTAAAGGGAAGCTTCTTAGTCATTGCCTATTGCTGTGGCCATGTGCCTCTGTGGTCTGCACTTTTGTGTAGAATCATTCACATAAAACCTTAGACATAGTTTCAAGGGAATAATTTTTTTTAATTTGGCTCATTCCTTTTCCTTAACGAAAACATAGAAATTTGAAATTTTTATTGATTGGTCATTAGGCAGTACGTTTCATTGTTGTTTTAATAACACGTTATGTAATGCAGCGTAACGTTTAAATGTAAGAGGCTCAATTTGTATCCGGCCTCTGGTCATTGAGGGCTACTTGATGGCCTGCTCTCCGTTACGTGCACTGGTATGCTTGAGTGGTTAAAATTCTAATAGAGCGGAGCATATAAACCACCGCAGAATGCATGTGAAAGGTTTGAGAATAAAGCGTGTGAAATTATGTTTGAATACAGCAGGGCTTCTTGACAGCAAATGTGCTCGTACCTTAAAAGCAGCTTATATGCGGTTATAGCAGGCATAGAAGAGGTGCAGCAAAGCCCATAGCAAGTGCAGAACCGCTTACGTATGAGTAACTTTTATTACCCATGCTTTTGATGACCGTGTGGACTAGCACTTTGTTTGCTATGATGTAAAAGCCCATTAATTGTGTTCTAATGAAATAGAGTGGAAAGATATTTTGGAATGTATCAGCACATAAAATACAAATCGTTCCTTATCCTTTCACAATTTATTTATGTTACGATACATTTATTGCAATAAGCATTTTTATTAAAATTTTTTTCAAAAAATATGCAAACATACAAATAAGTAGTCCTATGAAATCCTATTCAAATATATATCTATAGCATATTTATAGTGCTGTAACAAATTTGGAATTCATATTAGAAAATGTAATATTATTAATTGGTTAGGAAAAATAACATTCGTGGTGTCAGAAAATTGAGTACACATCGAATTTCAAAGATGAACGCAACTGCAAACGCTAAATCAAGTGCAAACGACAAAAGAAAATGAAACCTAACAGTAGCATACGAATAAGCAAATTAACTCAATCGCATAAGTTATAAAAAATAATGATTTTATATGTACCTCTATATGAGTAGTCGGCCACACATGTGCTGTTAGAGTGCCCTGCGCTTATGCACATATGAAATAGGCTCCTAGGAATGTATATCCTTAAGGAAGAGCCAATAAAACTCTGTAAAGTAGGTTCTACACTACTTTTTATTGACGCAACAGGGCTTAAAGAACTACTCTAAGCCTTCCGAATGACGACCAGAATGTCGTCCGTTGAGGACCTCCAAATGTCAGAAGGAAAAAATAATTCTCGTCCCAGTGATCTCCTCCTGGTTCAAATCAAGGCTAGACAATCACAGAGTACCTATGTTACTGTAAGTCTCATCTGCTTCTAAGTAGAGTCGACAATCTATCTCTTCGGAGAGACCCATTTTGTTTAGATGATAACGCAGTCCATGCTGACCCGTTAAATATCCTACCAGCAATCTCAACTCTGGTCTGCTGAAGATGGATACCTTACCATAACTGTAGGGATGAACCTGGTGTTTAGCCTGACGTTTACCTCGACTGTCCCACCAGTAGCGACTTCTCTCGGCTAAAAACCATTTCTCAATTAGAGACCTAGTTGTAGACCAACTTAATCCACAATAAGACTTAGATCCACAGATTAAGTGGCAGATCCTGTCCTCGCAAGACTGTCGGCAGACTCACTACCATCGATTCCTGTGTGACCAGGCAAAGCATCACTATTATTCTATTATTTATTAGGTGTTTATTTATTCGAGGTTTCAATACAGAGTTCAAGTTATAAACTATATAAATGATCTACGGATCAATGATACACATCACAGGAAAATAGCAAAAGAATCATATCCTTTCAGTTACACAACACACTAAATAACATACTCCATCTTGCACAATAGATCAAGCTGGTCGCAGTGCATAAAGGCCTTAGCCTAACCCATAAATCATTACCATTACCAACGTGCTCTATCAATCTGTTCTTTGAAATAACAATTGAGAAAAGAAGCTTCCAGACTATATGCTTACGTGCTGGAGATTCCTAAGAACAAGTAAAATATATAAAAAAAAACATTTTCACTCTTCTATTCTCAATAATAAGATATACATAAGTCATTTGATAACTTTGGTTAGCTAGTCTGCCCAGATGACGGTGCCCTGTCAATACTATATTCAGTGCCTTGAATATCGTACAGTTTATAAACAGATGATAATCAGTCTTCATGTTCTGATGATTTTGATGACGATGATGACGAATTTGAAATTCGTTTTATGGTAGACTATAAGAGTAGCAAGAAAGAAATTATAGTGAATGTGAGAACCATATAAATGAAGTCGCAACTGAAACACAAACGAATTTGACAGAGGAGGATAATGGTGGCGTAAGTTGGACACTATAGAAGAATTTGGACACATTTTAGAAAAAAACTTTACATTAGAGAATATATTAAAAACACACCTGAACCAACATTCTATGCACTATGAAATATTATAAACTCACGTACAAGTGCGTTTAATATGTTGATTAATGCAAGTATGTCGAACTAGAAGAGCTTAAGGAAATGGTTTGTAGCAATTTAAAAATTAAAAATATTGCAATTTTAGATAAAAGAGGATTCAAAAGAGTTTAAAATATGTCAATGTATTAGAAATTTAGAATCAAAAACTAAGAGTTCCATTAATACGAAAAGTATGCCACTTTAAAAATAAAAGAATTTTTACGTTTTAATATCAGATCTGTGGGAAGTGAATGTTTTAGAAATCATAAATTTACTTCAATGTATTTTATGCGGGATAGTTATCCTCAGAATAGTGCCCTGCCAAAAAAAGATTTTAGTTGATCTCTGATGAAATTGTTACACTTTCATTAGGATTTGCAGTGATGGCGTATATACGTTTTTAATTCATGTATAGTACGAATAAGTTTTGTAATGGAATAAGAATCCTACTTCAACTTCATAAAAAATAAAAGAAGCTTAAAACAAACATAAAATGAAGAATAAATGAAACAAACTGTCACTTCAAATGCAATAACTTCTATATGTTGCGTTGTCTAAATTACTGGTAGTACTTAACTAAAGGTCATAAAAAAAAAATTTATGGGGTTCTGGCTGTGAACAAGGCAAGTCTTTGTCGGCGCATGCAATTGCCAATAATTATTCTCACTTGAAACATCAATTTTAAAAATATTTGATTAATTTGAAATCTATTTACACTCATAAAAAATTTTATATGTCAAAACAAGATATAAACAGTCCATTTTTTAAGTTCCAGAAATTGAAGTTTACATTTTCGTTCGTTTCGTTATACACCAGTTTAAACTATGGAGTGCCCAATTAATCTCATGCATATTAAACTTTATATACAACGAATTGAACACCTAAACCCGTATCTGAAGGAAGAAGTGATCACCGTATTAGGATACAGCAATAATATTTTTAATGCTTTGGATCTGACAACTTTTAGAAGTAAGACTATTACTACTGTACTACTATTATTGCATTATTAAAATTATAAAAGTATGTAACAAATTAAATTATTGCTTTTCTACAGATGCCTACGAACACTTTGCTGGGAAAAAATTACCACTAAAAGGTCGGGTGGCTTTGATGGAATTTATGCTAAGCATACCGAATATCAACATAATCCATTATAATGATGTCCCTTATTTCTTTATATGCGAGAGGCACAGTAATGAAGAACTTGATGAGGGCTGGGAGCCCGCACCCGAACAACCCTCAGTAATAGAGATTTCTGATGATTCAGAATAAACCGATAAGCTTAGAAATTTAATGGATTTTAAACTAAAAACTAGATTAACGACATACATTGGACATGGATAAGCTGTTAGCTAATTTAACCTTTTAACCTTTCTTTTTGGAGTTATTTTTAAAAAATGTTATATTATGTTACTTTTGTTGATGCCATGGCACTTTTTTTTGGTTTGAAGTTAATTAAATTAAAAAAAATCTATATAATTCGAATCTTATCTACATTTGAAATGCCAAAGCAACATGTTTAAAAACAATATTCAGTTAAAATAGTTGTAGCTTTTTCGAAATTACATTCGAATGTAATTTCTAGAAATTTTGAAGTTCGATAGAAAAAATTTCACACCGCATTTTTAACATTTATAATTTTAAATTTATTCGAATTCAAATATAAATTATCTTATGTTAAATAGCTCTTAATGTAGCTAGCAATTATAGTTCGAAACATTGTGTAATAAAGCTTTTAATTATAAAAAGGATATGTGAAATTCGAAAAAGCTTCACTAGAGCTTAATTTATATATCAGAAAAAAAACTTAAGAGAAAACCTGGGAAACTTTTGATTAAAGAGACATTTTTCATACAAAAACTTCCAAGAGATACATATATTTATTAAATTTTATAAATTAATTATTTCTTTCCAAAATTTTTAACAAAACTAGACTTTTTACTAGACTCATTCAATTACGAAATTCGTAGTAAAAATGCGAAAATGCAAATATTGATAAATAAGAAGTTCCTCACTCTGAACGTCATAGAGGAGAGGTGAATAAAATTAACGTTTGACAAATCCAATATATGAACAGCTAGGATATCGCTAAAAACCGACATTCTTTTTTAAATGAAAAATTCAATGCTTGAGTTTAGCATGAACTGAATAGAAAAAAAAATGGGTCCAATGGAACCAAATGAGACCATTTCCAATGAACCATTTTCAAAGCATATGACAACTGGTACAAAGGATATTACAATAGATAATATATACAAAATATTATTACACGGGTCGATAAGACCGGGATTAAAATGTCAGTAAAATTATATATGTTTGGTTGGATGGCAGAAATGTTATCAATTGTATACTTTCCTCTCCAACGATTGATTCGAATCTTAACGGTTAGCAATTAATTAAAGCAAGAAGCATTAAAGCAAGAAATTAAAAAATTTTTTAAAATCAATGGAGAGTTCATGACAGTGAGATTTTTATATATCAAAAGGTTAGTCAAACCTTGCAGCATCCCATTATTATTTGATTGATTTTTGCAAAATTGCCTTCTGCTCAAAAAGTACTCGGATTTTGTAAATAAAACACACAAATTTCAATTTCATTCCAAATTTATTTTATTTTCTTCAAAATATGCTCCTTCTGAAGCGATACACATATGCCAACGCTTAACCCAATCTACCATACACTTTTCGTAGACCCGTGAAGGTATGGCTTTTAGTTCCTTCGGCGGGTGTACCAACATAACAAAAATAAAATTTTTGAAAAAGGTCTATTACTTAAGGAGTAGTTAACAAACAACAAAATCCGGATACTTTTTGAGCAGAAGGTATATGTCGTATAGGAAATATAAGAATATTAATTGTTGATTATAAATGAAATTAGATATTATATAGAATATAGAATTATTTTAGTATTGTATAAAATATTTAGTAATACCTAAGAACTAAATTATTTTTGTATTGTGGAAAACTCATAGTATAGATAGAATAAAATTCTATATTTAATGTATATAATTTTTATATTTTATTTCTATAAAATTGTACTTCATATTTCCTTCTTATGGGACGTATTTCCAATTTTTTCTTCAACTTCCAATCTACTTAAATATTCCTTCTTTTGAGTATAACGACTTTTAGCTCCTATAAAATTGAAATTATTTCACAAAAACACATAGAAAGATGGAAGCTCTTGGCGAAATATAATATATGAACGTTTTTGGAAACTTTTTGGGCTGTTTTAAGCAAATCATTAAAAACAAATTTTTTCAAGAAGTCGTAGACCTCTGTAAACAGTTTTTTTTTCTATGCTAATGTACAATATTTTATTATACTTCTCAAATAATTGTATATCATATTGTTTCTGCCTTAGAATTTTACATGTACTTATGTGACAAATGTGCTTTTAGTAAGATTAGTTAAACTAGATGTAAAGGTTTTTAGACTCACAGTTAAATCTTTTTCAAATCTTTGAATTCATCTTAAGTATTTTTAGTCGTTTAAAGCTTGGCAAAATAAAATTGGATATAGATCTTGTGGTAGATCTTGTGGTACAAGAGGACAAAACAAAGTACTTTTTGTCAACAAACAAATCTTCTGAACATATTGGGACCCATGTCACTGTTGACAGTTCGAAGTTGTGAAAGTCTTTGTTTATTTGGTAACCAGCGTAAACACCAAAAATGATGTCAGCCTAGAGATTTAACAAAGAATCACATCTTTTTACAAACAAAAATAACGCTCTACTTAGCTCTACTTATCATGTCCGTCTTGCTGTATAGTACAGAAACTTGAACAGTCACCAACAGTGATGAAAAGGCGTTAAGAGCATTCGAGAGAAAAATTTTTTGGAAGATATATGGTTTCTTATGCTTTGGTGACGAATTAGATGGAACGATGAGCTATATGAACTATACCGCGACATTGATATAGTTTAGCTTATAAAAATTCAGTGACTTCGCTGGCTTTGTCGTGTCGTGCTCCGGCTAGAAAGTTGTTTGATTCGGTATCCGCAGGTGGAAAAAGCGGCAGAGAATGTCCTCAACTTCAGTGAAAGGTCCAGATGACCAACTATTTGGGGGTGCTCGGTACTACCAACTAACGACAGTAAGAAACTAATCTGAAGCTGGAGGCTACTCGACGCGGTCAAAGACTACTCACATCATATGTAATGGCCGACTAAGTAAGTAAATATATAAATTCCGCTGGTAAAAAAATTTTCAATATTAAACCAAAAATATGATTTAACTGAAATAAGCAACTTTTCATATTTTTGCTCATTAGCTTAACTTTTTTTTTATTATGAGTTATTTTTGATTTGTGATTTTTCACAGAACAAGTGCGTTTGTCGTTTCTGAAAGATTGATAATAATTCTTTTAACGTTGAAATTACTTATAGTGTATTTCAATGCGTGAAGTAAATCATATAATCATGACTTTCAATGCTGATTTGCGATTTCAAAAGAATACTACACTCTCTTATAAGCTATCCCCACGCATTCCAAACTATAATAATTATGCCACAATTTGTTGTGGTTTTTTTGAGCATATAGTTGTCCTTCCTAGTCCTTACCTTCTTTGTAAATTCAATCATATAATCTTTCCAATACATCGATTTGAATAAACTCAATGAAATTGAGTTTTATTTCGTATAAACTATTGATTCTCTTTTTTTTTTATATTCATCGTTGTATCCCAGATGTAGGTATATTGTTTCGAATGCAATTGAATATTTAATCGTTCATAACATAGGAATTAGTCCTCGAATTAGTCCTCAAGACATTTTAGTTTGTCAACTTTAACGCGATTCAATAAAAAACTCTCATTGAATTAGCTTCGATTTTTTTTAATTTCACAAAGCAATCAAAATTTCTTTCAAATAAAATTATAACCTAATCCCATATGAAAGATGTCATTTATATTTTTTTTTTCTAAATCACGTTACATGTTTCAATAACAGAAAAATTTTGGAAATAGAAAAATTTTAAATTCGCATTTGCAGTACCAAACTTCACACTGGCAACCATTAGTTTTCACCGCAAAATCATGGAGCCAGATTCAGTTGACGTTTGTGTCTTCTCAGATGCGCCTATGTATAATGTTCCAAAATACACAGATGCAGACTGCAAAACCTTTAACAACAGTGCATTGTTAACTGGAATTGTGATTGGTCTTTTATTGCTATTACTTCTGGTTGCTATTGTAATGGCGATTTCTGATTTTTTCGATCGTACGACAGATGGTCAACAGAATAATGCTATTGCCGAAGAATCAGAAGACGCTAATCAGACTGATGACGTTACTATTGCTGGTGAAGTTATTGAGACAGCTAAAAATATATCCGATAGTCAAATCGAACACGAAAATCCAGAGATCAGCACAGAAATGAAAGCTGAATTGGAGACAGACGGAGAAAATTTTAGTATCAGCCAACCGATTCCAAATGAGCCCACCGATTGTTTTCGGGATTTCACTTTGCAGCAATTAAATGATTTCAATGGTTCTAGTGACGAACGCCCCATACTTATAGGTGTTAACAAAAAAGTCTATGATGTAACCAAGAACAAACGCTGCTATGGCCCTGGACAACCGTGTGCTGTGTTCGCAGGCATCAATGTGGAGTCAAAGAGTTGGGAAAAAATTGTAAAAGATAAGTACACTTGTGTTGGTAAATTAGTTCTAACACCTAAAGAAGAAGCTGAAACTCCAACTGGCGATGACATCAATTTTAGTTGTCTCTTGAACAAACTGAAGGAACAGTTAGACCGCAAGGTGTCAGAGAACATCGAACAGCTTGATCAACCAGACGAAAGCAATGATGAACTTTCAGTGTCTGCGGCTGCGTCTGCGGCTGCGTCTGCAACTGCGTCTGCGGCTGCATCTGCGGCTGCGTCTGCGGTTACGTCTGCGGCTGCATCTGCGCCGAAAGTCACTAGCGACGAAGTGGAGGCATGTGAAGAGAGTTATGTGTAATCATATAATCTCTTTCATAAGCACAAACGCTCAACCAAGATATACAACTTCACAAATAATTATAAACATGCAAATACGAATATATGAATTGTTATATATATGAATAAATTAATTAAGTACAAAATTATCACATTTCAATAAATAGAGACAACCATATCTACAACTGCAGTAAATTGATTTCTTTCATTTTTTTCTCAAGCCACAAATAAATTTAATTTGAAATGGAAAGTGAAATAAAAAACGGTTAGTTTTGTTTCCGGGTCGAATAGTCAATTTGATATAATAAATAAAAGTTGCTGATGTTAAGGAGCTGAACTCTTATAAACATATAGAATAAGGATTTAAAGTAAAAAAGAGTTCATGTGAAAACATCATTAAGTTTTTTTTATAACGCTTCAAGCATTCAAGTATTGAGATATAAAAATGTTTTGATGAGAAGAAAAGATGTAAATAAGTTAATTAGAATTAAAATTGACAGAATGTTGCACTAGATACGGTTTACAGCGTTAACATTTTCACAGTATTCCTAAAAACTAATTAAGATCATTTAAAAGAATGCCAAAAGACGTAGCACCAATTTGACAATATGCGTTCTTTTATAAATCTTATTTAGCGATCAACTCTGAAATTGGTTATTCGTAGCATAATTAATTAATGGCACGATTACGATTTTTAGTTCATCATTTTGTGCAACTTTTTCCACTAAGTTTTATATATTTATGTAGATAAGTTCTTGCGGTAGCAGACTTTCAAATTGTATATTTAAATTAATCATATTGATTATATAAGCAACTAGATGACATTCAAATAATAGTTGCCACTAGGTGGCGTATCTATTTATTGAACTTTCAGTGGCTCGAGAACTAAGCATTATGCAATATATTGACATATAAACTTAGTGTTAATAATTATTTCGAATCATGCCCAACATAATCTTTGAAAGTTAATTTCACAAAAACTTAAATAATGCTCTGCATAGATTAATACTCGTATTAAAGAGAAATGATTAAAGGACAACATATCCTTAGGTACACAATTGCATATGTGTGGTCACTCAATTTCAGGGTTGACACATATGCCACAATATGTATGAAATATGGTTTTTTATACACCACAAAAAAAAAATAATTCATAGTCAACCTTCGACAAAAGTGATGTACAAAATGGGCAACAAAATGTTATTTCAAAGTAAGGACACATTTCCTTGCTGACCAAGACCGTCGGATAGTCTAGAGCAAAAAAAAAAATAATAACCTTTTTAAATTATGTACATATATATTGCACACATATATGTGCAAGCTGTTAAATGTGTAAGTCCATAAATATATCACACTGATATTATTACAAAGGACAAAACGTCAACAACAGACGCTGATGGATAGCTTTTAATTTCCGTTCAATATTGAAAATGAATGAAAGTATAAATTATCACAACTGCGACTTTAAATTATAGTTAAAAACTTACATAAAAGCTTCTATTGGTTAAAATCATTGATCGAAAATAACACTTATTTCAACATTTTTTATGAAAAAATGCAGCAACAAAAAGTTGTCTAAACTCATATTTAAGTATATAGTTATCATTCTAACAACTTTTATCCTTAGCATTATGCATGCTTTTTATATATGAGCATTTTAAAATGAAACTCAAAAAATAATTTTTAAATTTGCTTTATATTTTATTTATCAAAAATAATAATTTTATGTGCCTTTTATTTTATCGCTTTCTGCTGCTTTTCATTTTAAAACGCACAAATAACTGTCACTTTTGCGTTATAAATAAAAAAATCATGAATAACTTTCACTGGTCTGTCGAATATATTTAAAAACGGAAATATAAAATGCATTTTTCATATAAGGTAGTTGTTTTTGTAATTTCATACAAAATGTATTTAAGGGTACAAAACATTAATGCATAGTCTTTGTGTGCAATATAAACAAGGTACACTGTTTTTATTTATTTTGTTCCTATCAAATACGCAGGTTTGGTTGGTTGTGCATTTCGTTTCGAATTAATTTCTTACGTTACCTTCCGTCTAACTGGACCTGAAAAATGCATACATTTTATATCAAATTTACAAGCAAAAGCAAAAATAGAGAACAAACCCAAAGAGTTCCTCTTGATCGACCTAATGTTTTTGGCTACAAATTTTTCAAAAGCTAAGTTGAGAAGTCCTCTTGTATTTAGAGTCCTTGATTATGTATCGTTATTATTTTAATTGTATTTTATTAATAATAAATTGTTATTATGACCAATATTCAACACTACTTTATTGTTATACTACGTTTTATACTATGGCTTATACTACGTTTAAGGATTAAGAGAACGAGATTAAGTTAATCTGCATTTTTAATCTCCACCGTTTGCATTAGGGGTATTCAGGCAACTGATTAGTTGGTTAGTAGTTGATTAGAACAAAAATTTGCACACAAAAATGAAACTAAGCAGGGAATCAACTATTTCGGTGATTCTCAGACTAGTACAAATTTGATTAATAGTGCTGCCAGTCCCAAGTGTCGTAATAATAACTTAAAATGAACTTTTGTATAGAAATTTGTTAGCTATCTCTCTCAGCTGTTTGAATTGTGTGTAAACAATTTTCACTGTTAACGTATGTTTCGCTTTTGCTGTTGATGCGAGTGCTGCCAAGGCATTTACACACAACAAACTAATCAGATTACACATTTTGGGTCGTTCAAGCAACTGATTAACATCAAAATGCTAAATTTTTTTTATATGAAGTTTTAGAATCAACTAAGCAACTAATCAATTGCCTGAATACCCCTAATAGGGGTATATATTCGAGATTAATGTTGACGTTCCTCTTGTTGTTTTTTGGTTCGTGTTTTTGATAAATTTCTGTAAATAAAGCATATAATTACAATTTTGTATAAAAAAATTCTTTTATATATATAATAAATTGATTTATAATAATAGTTCAACAAATTTTAGTTATAATTATGTGTAAAACTATTGTTAAACAAATTTAATAGAAATTTCACTCCGGAATTTTCAAGCTTTCAATATTTGTTTTAAGTAGATTTTGACATATCTCTTTAAGATCGTAAAAAAATCTACGACATTAAAACATTTCTTCTAAGATCGTAAAAATATCAACGACATTGAGACATTTGCAGAGACATTTGCACAGAGAAATAATCATCATTTTGAAGGAGATTTAAAACTAAACTCGATGAAAAGGAGATTAACTTTTGTATGGGAAATCTGAGATTAACAACGAGGTTAGTACTTTAATCTCGATTTTTGTTAATCCTCTTTTAATCACTCAATGTTAACGCCGTATTAGGTCGTAAATTTAACAAACAAAAATTACACTTATAAATTTGTCTTAAATATTTACTTGTAGTTTAGTTTTTATAAAAACTTATTCATTTTACAGATATTTCGGTCTATTTTGTAAACTATTTTCAGTGTATAATAAGGAACAAAAACCTTAAAAATAAACAATCATTTTATTATTAAAAAGAAGTGCAAATTTACATATCACCTCTGTGGTATTGCACATTATACTTTAACAAAATTATTTTATATGGCCTATACACCATAAAAAACTTATATAAGACTTACTCCACTTGCTGAAATTATTGATTATATCATAATTTGCGCCAGCTGCTATTTTTGCTTTAGTTTTTAGAATTTCCAATGGAGATAGTCTCTCTAGGATCATAATACTTTTCTTGTACGTCTTAATCAATTTTTACTTTGAGAAGCTTCTTTCCGTCGAAACTATAATGACTGGAACTGTGAATATGAATCTGGTTACTATATAAACATTCGGGAATACTTCGAATATGGTTAATGCCATTATCAAACTGAATTGTTCAAAATATTTATTAAGTGCTTAGAATCCACAGTCGGTAACTTTTTGCGAGGCCCCTGGGGGCGCGAGGCCGTCGGCGGTCTCTGACACCGCTGACGCCTAGCGACGCCACTGGTTCACGGCATCTAAAATAACAGCTACAGAGCTCCACTGTTCGTGCACCATGATTCGACACAAATCTTTCATGAGTGAAATCTATATGCTATTTCAAATGCTGGACTAGCGCTTGTTAATAAAAAATTAAATAATAAATAATATATATAATAAATAATATATATGTAAAATTGTTCATATATTAATTACTATTTTTTTTACATTTTAACTTTCAGTGCTTGTTTCTATCACAATAACTTTTTTACGAAATAAATATAAGCAATATACTAAATACGTACAAAGTAATTGGTCAACTTGTTTAAAAAATAATAAATTTACTTTTAGCGACAATAAAAAACTAACACAATCAAATTAGAAAAAATTTTTGTCGTTTATATCGGTCTTTGGGGATTGCCAATTTAGCAGAATACGAAATTTGGAGATTTAGCGATTTATCCGGAGAATCAGCTGTTTTAGAAAGAGGAGAAAATTAGCGAATAGAAATAAAGCGTAACGATTTAGCAGAATCGCAAAAGTGGCTGAAATGCATTTAAAGAATTTTAGCGATAGCGATTAGTGGAGTCGGCCTGCAGGTCTCACATTGTGTTATTAGACGACTTTTTGCTAATCTTTTATCTGAAGCCTGGTGATATTCTACACCCAGTTCAATTTCACATCGAACTTACATATGAGTTTCGAAAAGTGTGCAGTACAACAAAAGAATTTTTTTTTTGTTTTTTTAATATTGAAGTTTTGACTGATCAAACAGCTGTTTCGAGTATTGCCAAATGCTCATCATCAAGGGTTTTGGAATTATTTCTTTTACTTCATTATTCGTAAATAGTTTCTTCAAAATGTAAGTACCAAGGGTTGAATTCATACTCTGCTAAATTTAAAATACAGTATCAGCGTTGACTGACTCAACTCACCCAAATCCATACTTGACTTTTCAGAAATATATAAAGGTCACATAACTTTTGCATTGTCCGGAGTATTTGGCCACATTTTTCATATTCCCACAGAACGTATTTTTTAAATTTTTTTTTTTATATATAAAATTATTAAATGGAAATTCAAGTGTAAAGTCTTTTTGTTAGAAATTTTTATGATCTATTAAATCAGGTATTTGATTATTATCGATTCATCAATATGTAAGATATTCAATTGAGACTGCAAATACCAACAACAGCTGATCTCATATTCAGGGAATACTTGCATGTATGGTTAATACAAATATTAAAATAAACAAATAAATATAATTTTTCTCACAAATTTTTTTTATTAATTTATATTAAAGCCTTATTGCCATTAAAGCAAATTTCCGAGTATTTATTTATATAACTTTAATAATTTTGTTTTCGGTTTCTGTGCTACCATATCTTTTTAATGGTGCCATCTATAAGTATTTACGTTGCATATTTTCAACATAAGAAATCGGTTTGGCATCATTTTCTCTTTTGCATTATTCGTTCAGTCCTAGTCCGAAACGAAGTTGCAATTCCGCCAAATTTTTATTTTCTCTACTTTTTTATGTTTACACTTCTTGGTGGCGTGCTTTTTAATAAATATTAAAAAGTTGTGACGAGATGTCGGTGAATGAGCAAGTGACTAAGGGCAATATAGAGCACGTTATGTGGAATCTATTTAAAATGCGTTTCCCAACGGAACTAACAGATGCAATTAATAACAGCGCATACAACACATTTCTTGGGGAGATCCAAATCACAATTTATACTCAACAATCAGTGCAGATTTCATTCACACCAACTAAATTTGCTGAAGGTGTTGAGCTGAAGACATATATACTTGATGCATCCCCGCATCTTATAGAACTTTTAACTAGTGATTTGACCATTAAAGAAACTGATACGTCATTGGTGGAAATATATGAAGTCTTCCACCATCCACCTGAGTAAGTAGTCATTTTCTATTTGAATATAATTTGATATAATATAGTCAGCTATCATTCTCACTTTTGCAGAATAATGGTTGATGAAAATAATGTACTATATCTTGACTTCAATTTAGATGGTGACGACACTCGCCATCTTAAAGGTAACTTGTAAAAATATTATGTTCACACTTATTTATATATGTACGCACATATATATTATATATTTATACATATATAAATATATATATATATATATATTTATAATATATATATTTATATTATATACATATATATATAAAATGTATATATATATATATTTTATATATATATAAAATTTATGATATATATATATATATAT